CAGGGGCATAATAGGTGCCCTTTAACTAAATGTGTTACTTGTCATTTCTTTACAATTAATTGTCAAATTTACTAACAATTTCTGATTGAAAATTGTTTTTTTTTTCAGTACAGTCATTCATTTACTGTATAATAAATATGTAATTAAAGGGTCATGAAACTCCCCGTTTCAGCACTGGTTAGTTCTCACTACAGTTTTAAAAAATGTTAAAAAAGTGGCCGTGGTGCGGAGCGGAGTGGGAAGAGGGGAGACAGACAACGCACACACGCGCTGTTGCACCTCTGAGAACTTGTTAGGCTTATTCTGCTGCATTTATATAAGCCTTTTGACGGCTTGTGTCACGGAGCTGTAAAAACGGTTACACTCACTAAGTGAATGAATTGCGTTTGTGCTGAACTCTTATTACAAAGCAAAAACAAATAATCTCCTTCCTTCGATCCATGAACGTTTCTCTCAGTTAATGTACGCGATCTCACAGTCTGAAGCGTCTGTCATAGCAAATCAACACATGCTGTTGTGAATAATTAACCGAAGCGCCTTCTCATAGCAGGATAGGAACACGCAGTCTCATGAATAATTTAATAGACACCGACGCGTCATCGATGTACTATAGTCCTTTGCCAAGTCACAAATTGTGACGTCAACACGAGTATATATATATATATATATATATATATATATATATTCATATATACAACTAATTCAAAATGTTAATAAAACCTATAATAGGATCTCAGTGATACTAAAATAAAGTTGACATAACATGCCTAGGTAAAATATGGAAAGACGTTTGGCTGATTTTTTTAATGTTTTCATAAATATCTGACTATGAATAGCTGTAAAACCTTATATATAGGGGTTTAGTTTATTTTTTACTAGACTCCAGAGCAGTAGAGGGCGCTACACGCTCACTTATGCTTCAGTCACAACTTTACTAGTGGTTTCTTTTCAGAGAATATTCCAGACTAGGACCCTCTTCCCTATCAAAATCAAAGAAAATGTCAAACCCAACTCCTGTAGCCAAGCCTGGAAACGCAGACAACCCTCGGGTATTCTTTGACGTAGATATCGTTGGTGAAAGAGGTCAGGATCTTTTGTAAGAAGCTGAATGACTGAATGCTTGTGTGTCCTGCCACATGCCTGTAACTGCTCAGAAGAAAGAATAGATGCAAAGAACTCAACCACGTGTTAGTGAGTGTTTGCTGTAGTATATACGAGTCTCTGTTGTGCAGTACATTTTATGTCCCCTTCATATGGGTTAAAATATTGTCACATTAATCAAGGTTGAAATCGTTTCGATTATTTTATCACAGTTGAGTGTACATTAACCTGAGAAATATTACAGGCGTTTCTTCATTATTCCCCTTTTATCTAACCGGTATGTTTCCGTAATATCCCTAAATAAATATTTTTTGTCAGTAGTAGAGTTACTAAGTAACAATAAAAATACAATATACAAAAAGGCAATAAATAAGAGAAAAGATGACAGCTCTGCGCATTTGTACTCTTCTGATAGTAACTCCTTTGCAGATTAAACCGATTTTAAGTTTTGATTATTGATGTATGTAAAGCAGACTCAATATGGTCAGATTGGCAAGATTTGATATGCATGTGAAATGTACAAAAAGGTTATAGGTCATTGAACAAATACAACAACAGGCAAAATATATAATATCTACAGCATAACCAGAGATCATTGAAGTAATCTGATAATTCATTCCTGCTGTTTTGATCTCTTTGCAGTCGGCCGTATAGTGTTTGAGCTCTTTGCTGATGTGGTTCCTAGAACGGCAGAGAATTTCCGTGCTCTTTGTACCGGTGAGAAAGGGATCGGTAAAAGCACCGGAAAACCGCTGCACTTCAAGGGCTGTCCATTCCACCGCAGTGAGTGAGAATATTTAAACTATACAACCGGAAGTCCACTTTCTATAAAACAATCTTATTCAGTAATCAATAATATATACATCTAGTGATCACAAAT